GCTCTCACCCTTGTAAGAACCAGGCGTTGAGAGCACCCATCACACTCTCACTGAGCAGAGCTCTGCTCCAGGCATGGATATGTCTCTTGGGGACCTGGCGAGGAAAACGGTGCGCAGGTGGTTTCAGGGAAGCTACTGCTTGCTGAGAGGTCACTGGCTGGCTCCTAAGCAGGCACCTTCTGTGTCTGTAGCTATCTCTGTGCTCCAGGTGCTTCTCCATGTTTTGCAGAGCCCACTTTGAGGGAGAAGTAAAGAGACTTTATTATTTGCTGGTTTTGATGCTGTGGATTTGCAGCTGGAATAAGTCAGTGATGCATCTGTCAGAAACAACACGGGATCTAGGAAGGATGAGATGCCATTGTGTTCTGAAGAGGGATCCAAGTGCTTTGATGACACAGTGCAGCCTGAAGTCCAAGCCAGTGGCTGGGAAAGATTAGGACGTGAGCTCTGAATCTGTGTTTGGATTGCTAATTCTTAGTTAGTGAATGGTACTGCTGGATTCTACACCAATGAACTTGAATCCCAGCATCCCCCTCTGAACATTGAAATGCTCCTTCCCCGAATGTGCAGAAGACTCCGATTGTCAATCAGTTGACTGCAGTGGAAATTTCCACTGACTTCAGTGCTCTCTGGCTCAAGCCCAAGGTTCGTGTGTGCATCTTCTGACCATCCATGCAGCTTCCCTGCTTGCAGCTTTGCAGGTGTTTATGGAAAATGCATTTTAAAGCACAAGTGAGGACAGAGGTTGAAGGTAGGAAGAGGGACTAAAGTGCAAACTAGTTCACAGATCTCTAGACCAGTTGACTGGAGACCCAGGGAAAAACGGTTCTGTGTATCCACTGCAACCAGTACTGAAGGTGATCATGCTACAGAAAGTGAGTTGGTCCTCGCGCCAGTGGCTGCAAGTCAGTCCATGTTTGTGCTCTTGGTGTCTACAAAGAATGAGTTTTTCCCTGTTACTTTTTTTTTTCCACATTTAAGCTTTGAAAGCATTTTCTTTAGTTTCTCAAGATTTTTTTGGTGGAATAATGAAATTTGCTTGACACCAATAAACAAAAGCAACCAAAACTGAATTAGTTTAGAAAGGATTTTGTCTGAGAAAAGACTTTGACTACTTCTTAAGAGTTTTGTATGTTCTTCAGAGGGGGAGCGACAGGATAGGCTGTAGTTTATTTTTTCTGTTAAATACAGAAAAAAGGCCGTTTGGTTTGCCTTAGATCTGTGGGTCAAATTAATTTTGAAGCTCAGCTATCCCATCTTCAGTTGTAATAATGATTATAACGAACACCATTTTGTATTTTTGCACCAGCACTTTCCCAGTGTTAAGTTTTAATGGCAATTCGTGTCTCTTGATCCTCAGCAGAGTAAATGGAAGGAAAAATTGTAATCTGTTAGTAATTTTCATCCCTGATTTGTCATATACTCCAAGTACCTGGTCATATATACACTGTGCACATAGTTATTTGCAAGACCATCCCTGTCTCGATGTGAAGAAATGGGAGGGGAGCCGAGACACAGGGAAAAGAAGTGATTTCCCCAAGGTCATGCAGCAGGTCAGTCCAACCTCTGCTCCCTGGTGCCCGCAGCGATTTGTATGTTAACGCACTGCAACAGGAGCTGGAGGAGGGTGGAAAAAATGAATGAAACCTCTGCTCAAATGGTAACTCAAGAAATCCAAGCAGTCGATGTGAAGAAATGGGAGGGGAGCCGAGACACAGGGAAAAGAAGTGATTTCCCCAAGGTCATGCAGCAGGTCAGTCCAACCTCTGCTCCCTGGTGCCCGCAGCGATTTGTATGTTAACGCACTGCAACAGGAGCTGGAGGAGGGTGGAAAAAATGAATGAAACCTCTGCTCAAATGGTAACTCAAGAAATCCAAGCAGGTT